CGGCGTCCTATTGGGCTATATACCAGAAATATCCTACCTCGATATAACCCGTCCCCAAAGACTTCTTTGGTTCCACCGCATCCACTAAATATCTGTCAAAGCAATCAGGATCACGAACACCTTATATTCGATCCTTACAAATCCCTCCATACCCATTAAGAGAAAAAGCCAAACCTACAACTCCTATATCCGTCCCATCCTATCATTTGCCTTTCCCACCTGGTTCGCTACACCCCATTGCAATCGCACACAAATAACCCGCTTCCAAAACTATCTGCCTTGTTTTCCACTCACCTATGTACACCATCTACTACTCCATACGATCCCAAAACAAAATACCCCACATCCTCACATACCTCCTTAACTCCGCAATAGCCTACATTAAAAAATATATTAACAACCCCCCTATTTCGAGACCTAATCCTCTCCCACCTCCACATCCTCAGAAACCCACCCCGACACACCCGAAAAAGCATCCCTTAGACACCCTCCAACTTCCCCCTCCTAAGCCAGAGGGCAAACACAAATAAATGACAAACGAACGGACCATAAACTACAAAAACTAACTGACACAGCTAAACACGCCGTCGACAACCGCCTTTTTTCCACACCCCTTGCTCACCTATCCTTGTCTCTCCCATTCGCAACCCTCGTCATCCAAAACCCTAACAAATAACCCTTCTCTCCACGAACAAAAAAACCCGTCCACCGAGAACCCAGATTTCAGATCCTCGGCCCTGTTTGGGGGAGAAGAATCAAAACACCTGAGCAAAAACCCACTGAAAACCCCCAGTTTAAAGAGACCCCGCGAAGGGTCAGACGAACATAGCTGAACACCCATGGTTCGATCGTTCCCTCTTCGTACAACTATCCTCAACAAAATAGCAAATCCTCCCTTAATAAAATAACCATCCTTCCAATCACCTCAATTCCCGATCCTCGTCCCTGTACGGGAGAAAAGAAACTAAATATTATCAAGATTCAGAAGACATGACTTGAAGAGTCGAGACAGGCATACATCGAACAAAACCATTAGATCAGGTCAGAACCTTTAGAGAGATTTATTTTGTCAAAAAAAACCTCTATGTGACGTATAGGAGAGAAGATCATCTGCTCACGTTTTCTTGAGATCCAGAATCCCGTCCCATCATTTTCACTATAAATAGTTGAAATATGAGTAAATATTTAAAATAAATAAAAATAAATTTTAAACAATCGCGAGATTAGCAATTTTTGAAAAAAATATTTTCGTTCCCGAGTTATAGAAAACATATTTGCAACGGTAAGCAAACTGCAGATTTGATTTTTCTGCCATGCCAACAAAATAGTAACTCACCCTTACCTCTACTCCTACCATTACAAGCAAAAGAAGAGTTTAACAAAAGGTGTGCATAGTGAAGCTACATTTACGCACCGAAGCAAAACAAGGGGCCATCTCAGCATTTGCTCAATGGATCAGGGAAACTGGACAAAACCTGATCAAAATGGGGGTCATTGACCCGGAAGCTGAAGTACATTATTTGATACAAACATATAGTCTTTTTAAAAAAAATTATACACTATAAATGAAAACTAATTCATTATATATCAGTTTTTTTTAAATAAACATTTTTTCGGTAATCAGTATAGTCTCTAATTAAATAGAAACAGTTTTACAGCAGAAAAGATTTTACTTTTACAGAAAAGAACTTAAATTTGTGAACAGACTTCAATTGTTTAATGTCATCTGGCAATGCGTTGTGAAGTAACGTACTTGTATTGTATGTGGATTTCTGATAGTGAGCTATTGATACTGACACTTGATGAACGCGACTTTTACGACGTGTGTTGTACTTACAAATATCAGTATTGCATGAAAATATGTTCCCAGCGTTAAGTAAGTCACTTTTGACAAATATTACAGATTCATAAATATATAGGCAAGGCAATGGTAAGATTCCAAGCTCAATGAAGAGAGGCTTGCAGGGATCACGCGGATGGCATTTTTTCATTATTCCAATAATTTTCATTTGCACTCTAAAGGTCTGAGTACTACATGATGAATTTCTCCAGAATGTTATGTCATATCTCAGGCGGGAATGTACATTTTCAAAATACACGCAGTGCATGAAGACTAATAAAATTTGAAAGAATTCTGAATGCGTAACATAATGAACTTGATTTAGTGTTTAATTTTGTTATATTTACATTTCATTTGAGGTATAACTGAATTGAGGGACCTATAAATTTTGCTACCTGAACATCAGGTAGCATCATAATTGCATATTGTTCATTTTCAATGTAGCATGCTATAGCTGACTTAAAATGCAAAAACGCATTGAAACTATTTTTCCTTCGTTAAGTATTAATTTGATATTGCAAAAAACCAATTTGAAACTTCTGAAATCGTACTATTTATTGTTTCATTTTTGCAAAGAACATTCGTATCATCGGCAAACAGAACCGTTCTTCCGTTTTTAATAGGCGAGAGCATATCGTTTACGTTTATCAGAAAGAGGATATGACCTTGTACGAGCCTAACGGGACTCCATATTCAATTGGTAAAGAATTGGAAAGATAAGTAAATAATGTCTTTTCGTGCCAGTACAGAATTTCTACTCTTTGAGATGGCTGTTTTAAGTACGAGATTATCCAGTCTAGGGCGATACGAATTCCTTTCCTTTTACTATCCACTGGCATTAATATCAAACATTTAGCAGCAGAATGTTTTAAACAAATGATATGACATTTTCATGTTATTCTCAAAACAGACTAGAATAAAAAAGTATCATTTTGGACTAGACCCCTATGTGTGCTGCCGACCTGGATGGCCGAGGTGGCTAGAGCGTGTGCCGACTCAGTGCATCGTTCGGCAGGGTCGCAGGTTCCAGTATTGCCATTGTCGTGGTTGTTTGTCCCTGGTTTTTCATGTATGTTTTTTACGAGGGCAGGGGAAAATCTTCCAAAGACACTGCGGAGCCCGCTCTCCGCAGAGTGTGGGATGCACATCTAACCTCTGCCTTACACACTATAAACCCCTCTCATTCCTCCTGTTCCCTTCCCGGAGAACCGCCGTCAGGCGTTGCATCACGAGAAGGGCAGATCGGCTTATCGCTCTTTGCCAACTGGTGTCACGAGATACGCCTTCAGAGTCGTTCTTCTAAAAAAATTTTTCGGCATCGGTGGCTACCGCTCTCTAGTTCTCTTGGAGCACCAGCATCCTAGTGACGATGGTTTCAGGAGTCACTACGTGCATGACGACTTCTTTCCTCTCCTCAACGAAGTGAAAGAACATGTGCTCCACATCTTCAACCAATGGGTCACACATTGGGAATGAAGAGTCATCGTCCAACCGGAAACGCAGTTGGTATGCCCGGTAGCACTTATGCCCCGTTAACAACTGCGTCAAATAATGATCCACATCTCCGTGTTTCCTTTGAGTCCACATCGTTATCTGAAATGAGACGAAATTTCCATTTACCCATGGATGATAACACATATCGCCGTTGCCACTAGGCCACTGTCATGTCCCTCTCTTCCTTCATGATGACGCTCCTAATTGTAGCTCCTTCTCGCTTACGCCTGTAGAGCCTGGCCCTTTCTTGTGCCATGAGGTTTATAGGGGGCTTGTCAGCTATCACACACAGCGTAATACGATACCGTGCGAAACGCTCGGGCCACCCTTAAGGAGGGCTTTCTATGCACTGTCTTCGCACCGCGGGCGTATGACCGGATCCCAAAGGCATTAGCCCAAATGGGGACTGGGTAGAGTAGAATAGATTTCACCGCGCTATACAGTAGCCTCCGGCTACTTTGCCTTGGACCTCAATATTAGGCATAATTAGTGCCAAGGTGGAGGCCATGCGGGACGCTATCGTGCAGACTATAAACAAGTGCTCGTCCAAGTGCAGTCTCGTGTCAATTTGGACTCCTAAGTATCTTAGTGACTGCTGGGAGACTATTTTACTAACACCTACATTGCGAATAATACCCGCCTTCGCTTTCCTGCTTGTCACCAAGACAGCTTCTGTTTTATGCTCTGGCCCACCGACGTTAGCCACCGCCAGATCGCAGCTACAGGCTCGTTCGCAACGCGCGTGACCTCTTCAGTATTTTTGCTGACCACAACCACCGCAACATCGTCAGCAAATCCAATGGCGCATGCGCCTTCCGGCAGCTGGAGCTTCAAAACGGAGTCATACATAATATTCCCCAACAACGAGCCAAGTTCCGAGTCTTGCGGAACACCACCTGCCCACCAACCTTTCAATACCGTAATTAGGCTCAGAATGAATTGAGATCATAATTGTGACTAGAAGTTTGCCGGGAGTATGAAACAATGCATCCGCTTAGAGCTGCCCATAGCAACGACTGTGGTAACAAAAATGATCGTAACGAACTTGACAGGACGGGCCAGGTTAGGTAGGATGATTTTGATTAATAATCCCCGGTTACTCAGAGTACTTCTTTTACTTAAAATCTAACACTTTAAAACGGCTTCTCTTTTCATTCGCATTTTGCAATAACTGATTGCGGATTTCGCTATCGAGGATCATTGATCATTTTCACATAGTGTTACATGAGAACGACAAAGTCATCTATTGGAAAAGGACCAACATTTCTTAAAGTTTCCTCCTCGGCAAATTAAGGAAAGTTAATTGTTTTTCAGCATTGTCAAAATAAATAATTGCTATGGGGAATGCCACTTCCGTAAGGTCAATATTTGAATTTCGCGCCTTTATTCCACTTCATTGCTACAGGTTAAACTACAATATAAAATAAAGAGTGGAATTTACACCGACGTACTATGTGTAATGAAGTTCTAGACTTCAGAATTGATGCCAAATAAATAAAATATTTGTTTTAATTACCTTGTGAAAATTAGAACCAGTAATAAATGAGAAGTTACCTAAGTTCAATGTATTTGTTTTCAATATAATGTATTTATGTGGGAATATTTTAGATATTAATTATAAAACATTTATGACGGCTGATATCGTGCTATTTGTATTCCTAGCAGAAATACGAGTACTTCATTACATAACATATAGGTCATTTAGAAGGCCTCGTGTATTGATCCCCTCTCGAACTTCAGACGGTCGGTGCCAGCGGTGTCAGCAGGCGGTGGAGAGTCCGGGAAGATCATTCGTCTCTTCCCTTTGCTACTTCGGCCATGATGTTGAGCGCAGTGTCGAGAGCTTCTGCTGGGCTTTTGCGGGGGGTTAAATCCTCCATCAGCACCAAAGTTCTACAAAATGAAGCAACTAAAGTATTCTCCGCCGTTTCAAGCAGTAGTAAGTGATATTTTGTGTTTCAAGCTTGTAATAAACCGAACGTAATGTGACCAAGTGGGAGGGGGCTGTGCTCATGCGGCATCCATTTTACCGTCTGCCCGTTCCGCTATTTTGAGAACATTTTATGAGTATGCCAATTTGATAAATATTACGACGATTTTTGTATCATTGACCTGTTTGTTCAAAATTCTGGGAAGGACTTAATTAAATTGTACTATATCTAGCCGCGTTGGTAGATACATAATGGGCGGTCCACTCCCATTGATTAAATCGACCATCTGCTAGTAACATAATTTGTGTCTTTATAGTAAAATTTTTTAACTGTCAGCATTCGGAATAAAATTCCAAGGCGTGCAGATGTACTGCCATATGATACTTTTGAATGGCTTCCGTGCAAAAGAATCACATTAGAATATTATAGAAGGTTTATTTCTTCTCTCAGAAACTAGGAAGATTTCAATTTTAATCCATGTATTTTAGGTAATTCCCGTACAAGTTATGCCACACAAGCACAGCCGAAAGCAGCAAAAGGAGGAAATGGGAAGGTAGTAGCTGTTATTGGTGCCGTCGTGGACGTGCAGTTTGATGACAATCTTCCACCAATTCTCAATGCTCTGGAAGTGGAGAACCGAAAACCCAGACTGGTGCTGGAAGTTGCCCAACATTTGGGTGAGTGAATGTTAGCCCTTATTGATCATTTGTTTGTTGTTAAGGTAGAAGATTTAAACAATTAAAAAGCGAGGTGTGAAAATAACATAGTACAAGAAAATTGTTTCCTCCTTAAGTAAAAGTTGTAACGCAGGGTTTTGGTACAATTTTTTGGTGTAATCACGTATACATTTAATGTGTGAACGTGGAATAGAACTGAATTATGTGGTGGTGCAGAAACTGTGCAAGAAAAATAATGAAGCCTTGCATAGGAAATTGGTTTTTAATTGATGTATTGTGTTCTTTGGAAGATTAAGTCCGTAATGAAAATGTACGAGAGTACGTGTTTGTGCATTGGCTGAAAGTCAAATTTGTGAATTGAAAAGGACTAGATTAATTTTCTTTCATACCTGAAATTTTTGTGATTTGATGTTATGTTGTGATCCAAATTACTAATACAAAAATTAAAACTGCAAAATCTTCATAGAGGAATTTTCTATTTTATAAGGAAACTTGAGGAAAATGGTTCATTGAAATTTCTTGCCAAAATCACTAGGAGTAACAAAGTATTTCACAAATTAAAGACATTGGAAGGGAAGCTGATTTGATTCATTTTGTGAAGTTTGATAAGAGAAGAAGCAGAAGTTCATTGGAAATGGGCATTTGCACTTTGTTTTAAAATTAACATATGAATCACTTTTCAGACACTATGCAATTCAGTAGCGCAAACTTCTTAAATTAGGTGTCCAAAATTTGTTGAATTGGTTATCTACCCATGATACATGCACATTAACGAGTGATGGATGGGTTTCCCGTGCATTTTCTGTTAAGGGCAATGTAATAACATTCTTACTGTTTTTGGTTAAAAATAGTATATATGTTCTAAGATTTTTTTAGTCTCATGGTGGATTGGGAGTTACATAACATCACTTACATAACTGATATAACCAGTGATGTAAATTCTTTGCTGAACATAGTAACCTGTAAGGTGCTACTGAAAGCTTGAAAATGCAGTACTGTTTGTGTGACTAAAAGAAATAGAGATGTTATTGCCTTCAGAACCTAAGTTGTTTTTGAATGTTGTAAAATTTTATTATTCACCCTTAATTGTGAGATATTGCACTTGTAATATGTCATGTGAAGGACTTGTAGAAATGTGCAAGTCTGAAATGTTTGAAAGATACCAAAGTTCTGCATTTAAATTAATGCGAATTAATTTAATAAGATTGAAATTAACTTCACATGAAGTGAATTGAAGTACAGGTATCCTCATAAGTTCGGCAGAAGAGATTTGTAGTATGGGTCAGTGAACATGTTTTGAAGCATGCTATTTTAAAAATTCATTTCAATTAATTGAACTTATGATTTTAAAATTTTGATTACCTCATAGTAGTCAATTATGTGTTCGATTTTCTAAGGCAAAAAAGGAATCCCGATTGTCACAAGTATTGTTTGAGGTGTGGAAAGTATTTTAAAATAAAAAGATAATTTTGCCACTCATACTGTAGTGAAACTTTTTAATTTAAAGTATCTGCATTCTAATTTTATGGTATGACAATAATGGATTTCTCTTAATTTTTTTGGTTTTACACATTGTTCTTGTTAGTTCATTGTATTTACTTCTCTGATTCTCGTCTGTAAGCCTAACCTGTGCTAGTGCTAATCTGAACTACTTCATTTTAGGTGAAAATACTGTCCGAACAATTGCCATGGATGGTACTGAAGGTCTTGTCCGTGGACAGCAGGTATTGGACACAGGTTTCCCTATTAGGATACCTGTTGGTGCTGAAACCTTGGGAAGGATTATTAATGTAATTGGTATGTGTTTTTTTTTGTAATCAGCTGTAAATATGTTTGGTTTTTTGTTTTGCTCACTTTAATATTTCATCAGGTGAGCCTATTGATGAGAGGGGTCCAGTTAACACCACCAAGTTTGCTGCCATCCATGCAGAAGCCCCTGAATTCGTTGAAATGAGTGTAGAACAGGAAATTTTGGTGACAGGAATCAAAGTGGTAGATTTACTTGCTCCCTATGCCAAGGGTGGTAAAATTGGTAAGTTTTTGTATGTAGTGTAATGCCCTTGAGAACAAATGAAGGTCATATGTAGTTGAAATTTTGTGCATTATAGAAAGTGCTTTTAAATTAATTGTCCTTTGTATTGCTTTTATTACTAAAATAAAGGCATAAATTTTATTTATTTCATTTTTAGGTCTTTTTGGTGGAGCTGGTGTGGGCAAAACTGTACTCATCATGGAACTGATTAACAATGTAGCCAAGGCTCATGGTGGTTATTCAGTATTTGCTGGAGTAGGTGAACGAACACGTGAAGGAAATGACTTGTACCATGAAATGATTGAGTCTGGTGTCATTTCTCTGAAGGATAAGTCCTCCAAGGTACAATTGTAATAATCCTACTTTTTATTTAATTGCACCTTTATTATTCGAAATCTTCACATTAGTATTGTATTGTCTGAATGCATACAGAAATTATGCAAGCAAAATTCAAATTTTCTCTTGTAAAGTTTCATTGTTCACAATTTTTTTCCAACATATACAATCTTTTATTTTTTAAATGTTAACGACATATTCATTCCTGACTTTACAAGCTAATTATCACCATCTTGATTATTTTTAACTTTAGAAGCGACAAATAAATTATGAGATGCTGTTATGTTAACTTAAAGAAAATTACATGATGGTAGGGTTTGACAATGAGTAAGAAGTTTCAACTGATAATGAAGTTGACTTTTCAAGAGTAAGGTACTGCAAAGAGGTTCACTTGGGACACATCAGGACTTAACAAGTTTGCAACTTGTATGTGAGCTGTATGTCGAAGAAAAAAATATTAATTTGTTAATTTTATATAAGCATTTAGGAAGTAAGTTAGAACAGAAAATATAGGAAAATAAATAAAGGTTATGTTAAATGGGTTTTCAGGACTACTGTGTATAGTATAGTCAGATCATTAATTGTTATTCAGTAGGTATTTTGGAAGTGTGTTGCGACTTTTCTGTAAATATTTGTTAGTTAAGACCTTAATTGATATTAAGGTTAATTTGTGGATTTATCATTTTGTTGTTTTTTAAAAGAAATTCTTTTGCTTGCCTCTATTGTAGGTAGCGTTGGTGTATGGTCAGATGAACGAACCTCCTGGTGCTCGTGCCCGTGTGGCTTTAACTGGTTTGACTGTTGCTGAGTATTTCAGAGATCAGGAGGGTCAGGATGTACTGCTCTTCATTGATAACATCTTCAGGTTTACTCAAGCTGGTTCAGAGGTAGGAACAGAGTAAAATTTCGATATTATTTCTGTCATTAATAGTGTAGCGTTTGAATTTTGAAATGTTCACTTGACAAGTTTATATTTGGACTGGTAACATTAAAGGACACAGTGTTGTTGACCAGTGCTGCTTTTTATTTGCTGCCAAGATGTGTTGATAGTTGTAAAGCTACTATAAATTTAAATTTAAGCGAATTAAATGTTTTTAACTCCTGCTAGTGATTTTTTTTTATTTTACAAAGCTTGTTCTAGAGCCATCATTATTATTGTACAACCTGTTATGGTGGAAATGGTAATAAGTTCTATCAAATTCCAGGTGTCTGCGTTGCTGGGACGTATCCCCTCTGCTGTAGGTTATCAGCCTACTTTGGCCACTGACATGGGTTCTATGCAGGAGCGGATCACAACCACCAAGAAAGGATCCATTACATCAGTACAGGTATTAATATCCCAAGTGGCATGATTATTATATTTGTTTGTAAGGCTGTTTCAAATGTGTTATGTTCTCTTATTAGGCCATTTATGTGCCTGCTGATGACTTGACTGATCCTGCCCCTGCCACCACCTTTGCTCACTTGGATGCCACTACTGTGTTGTCCCGAGCCATTGCGGAATTGGGTATTTACCCTGCAGTAGATCCTCTGGATTCAACATCTCGTATTATGGACCCCAACATCATTGGCCAGGAACATTACAATGTGGCCCGTGGTGTCCAGAAGATTCTTCAGGTGGGTAGAAGTTTTATTAATTAGTTCAGTTAAAAAAATGTAAAGATCATTTATTTATACATTTTTAATATACAGGATTACAAGTCACTGCAAGATATTATTGCTATTTTGGGTATGGATGAATTGTCTGAGGAAGATAAGCTTACTGTGGCTCGTGCCCGTAAGATCCAGAGGTTCTTGTCCCAGCCTTTCCAAGTTGCTGAGGTGTTTACTGGCCATGCTGGCAAACTTGTCCCACTGGCAGAGACCATTAAGGCAAGTCTGTTTTATAATAGTTAGTGTTTTACTTATATTAAACTTTCAGCATAGAAGAAGGAGCATTTTTAATTTTATCTGTTAAGCTTTAGCATCAGACAAAATTGTAGGTTTACTCTTACCTTCAAGTGGTTTTTGTATTTTGTGATTAGCACTGATCTTTGTGCATTGAACAATTGCATTGTGCAATTGGTGTAGTTTCGGGGTATTTTGTGGTTTAGGGATATCAAGTTTTCAATTTTTCGTAAAATTGAATTACAAATGAACATTTTTTGGTATTGAAGTGGCAATAGTTTTGGCTAAATATGCTAATTTTCATTTTTATCTGTAGGGTTTCCAGGATATCCTTAAGGGAGAGTATGATCACTTGCCTGAAGTAGCATTCTACATGGTTGGACCTATTGAAGAGGTGGCTCAAAAGGCTGAGAGACTTGCAGCAGAAGCATCAGCGTAGACAGTGAATGCTCTGAGGTGAGAACTGTTTCTAAATACTTGGTGTAGACTGTAGTGATAAAACTGTGACTCGTGAAACCAGAATAACCATCCCAAGAAGCACTTCCATCACAGTGAACTTCATAAGTGTTGTTGAATGTACATGGAAATATCAAATTCTGCAGTTGATTTGTAATTTTCATAATGTTATTAAAATTTACCACAAAAACCAATCTGTAATTTTCCTTTGACCCTCACCATGTTCGTGTAACAGCATATTGTACATAAAATTGGTGCTATGTTGGGAATAGATGAATGGTCATGCAAAATCAGTATGTGTATTTATTGTGTGAAGTTGTTCATTTAATTTGAATAAATCCATTCCACTATAATAGTTGTTGATTTAATTTTTGGTCTACTTCCTCTGCATGTAAAGAGGTGCAGTCCTATTAAAGCAATTGGTGTAGTTTCAGGGTATTTTGTTGTTTAGGGATATCAAGTGTTCAAAAAGGATGTAAAAATTAACTTACTGTGGATGTATGTTCAAACTTGAGTTAATGGGAAATGTGAAGCATTTTGTTTTAAATTTAGAACCAGCGTGCAGTGATTGGAAAATATTGAAGTAGCTAGTATGAATGCTCTTTTGATGTATTGCTTGCTACAATGTACAGAAAACTCCGCTTTTACATTGGCATTTTAGGTTTCTCTGCTTTTCTCATTTTTTCACTGGTCACCCCATAAAGCATATGTTTACAATGTGTTCTCTTCCCGCAATTTACAACATTACATGAAGAGTGCTTCCAGTCTTTTTTTTTTTTAACTTTCACTTTCTCATATGTAGTGCAAAGTAAGTTATGTAATATTGTGGCTCAAAACTGATTTTTTGACAGAAAAACTCATACAGAAAAAGTGAATAAATCATTTTCAAATATGTATTGAAGTACTACATATGAATGTAACAAACTTACAAAAGCTTAGTTTGTTCAGAGCAATTGGGGAATATCAAGTTTGGTGAAAATTGGCTGTCTTTCGGAGTTAGCATTGTTCATTGACGGACACGTTTTGCTGTCAAACGATTCTGCGGTTTCAAGGACTCGTAAACGTGGATTCATTCTATAGCAAGTGTTTCAGGAAGTAATTTACTATATATAGAAATGATTTATCCACTTTTTCATTACCAAGGCCTGTCAATAGATCAAATATTTTTCTTGGCTAAAACTTCTGTAACTTGGAAATTTGCTCCCATCTCTCATGTAACTTTGCAATGGAGTTCACAACTTCATCACACACATGAAATGAAGTGAATTTCAAGTATACTATGTTAAAGAATGTGAGAATTGTGAAAGAAGCTGAGGCCACAAAGAACCAGGACAGGAGGAAAATCTATTAATGCAGAAAAGAAAGTTAAGGTGTTGTCAGATAATATTAAATGCAAATTCATGTGCAAAACTGAGGGGCCTAAAAGTCGTAGAATGTTGCAGTATGAGAGAAGGGCCAAAAATAAAGAAACCAAAATTTGGGATTGACTTAATATTGGGGTAATGGGGTAATTTGCCTGATGATTCATAACAATGGTAAATTTATAAATATTTTCTGAGTGAATTGCAGGAAAACTAATGAAATTGTTGTCATTTTCTTGACATGGTTAATTGATTCTTTGTTTTTCAATTCTAAGATGTATATGCAGCAATATTGATGAAATTGGTATTTTGAAATGAAAACTTGAAATATTTTCCAGAATCCCCTTGAAAAAGAGATACATTTTGATCTTTAAATTAGATCTCAATGAAAAGAAAGTTTTATTCAGTTTTCTGAACTAGGCAGTCTCTATTGCTATTTGTGTGTTAAGACAATAGGATGGTCTTTTGGGGCAAATTACATTTTGATAATTACTAGCATTATCATGAGGGCCACATTTGCTGAACTTGATAATGTCGCTGGGGGATTAGTGGTGTAATTGCCACGGCTGTTAGGTCACATGCATCCTCTTCTTGGAGATGGAAGTTACGCCACTTACTCTTGCAGCTCCAATTATCCACCAAATCTTGTAAGTTTGTTTGTAGAGTGATTCTGAAATAGGAAAATAAAGCCATAATTGAACATTTTCTTGTAGGTGTACTTTGTATGAATGTTAAAAAAGGAATTAATGATGCTAATTAATCTTCGAAGCTTTCAGTTTTGAAGTTTTTGATTAGATATTAGAAGTCAATACTATTCATGCTTGGAATGGTTATTGGAGTTCTTATAAAAAAAGTACTGATAATGGTCTTACACTTTACTGGTGGTTTGGTGCTGTGTACTGTTCTTTGCATATATTATTATAGATTATTCAGAACACAAAGCTGTCAGTGATGGATTTTAATATTTGCCCAGTGGTTACCTATTAGAAGAAAATAAGTTAGTCTGTTTCATTTAAAGAATTTTAAAGACCAATTAAACTACATCAAGGACTTAGATTCATCATATTTAACACTCAGTTTGCATTCTGATGGTTTTGTGTCAATATATTTGGAATTATGTGCTTGCATATCAGAGAGGACCACCCGCTTCATATTTGTGTAACATTTCTTCATTAAGCGAAATGTGTCTGCCATTGCAGATTTGCTGTGTATGTTCGAGTTTCACTGAAATGCTGGTTTATGTTCAGCATTAATTCAACTTTTGTACCAAGACCAAATTCCAGTTACGAAAGGATATGCTACATCTGATTGTCTTGTTGATGAATCATCCCAAAAGACTAAGTCAATACCATGACATGGAATACTTGGTACAATGAATATGGTACAAAGGCAGTGAACATTGTGGAATGATATGAAACCTGGATTTGAGAGTAATGAAAATGGACTTTTACCTCCATAACTTTCAAAGCTTCGAAAATTCATTTCAAGATTTAACAATTGAACTGTGTAAAATAATTATTTGGTAGATAATAATAAAAATTGAATCCTGTCATGTGTTGTCAATTGTTGCCACTTCCTGCTCTTATTTGGAAGTTTCTCACTTGAGTGCTATTACTTTTTATTTCTCAAAATACAACCCTTTATGTGGGTGGGAGGGGGTGTAAATGAGAACACATTAGTAATATGAAAGTCAAAAAAAATTTTGTAAATTTTAAAAAACAAGAGTAGCGCAATATGGTGTTTTTCATTGTAGAGTGCATTCAGCACTATACCTGCTAAAAGTTTAAAGGAACAATTTAGAGCTTTCTTTAAAAGATTTTTTTGTTTTTTAAAATTGGAAATATTGCACGAAAACTAATAAAATTCTCATAAAAAATGTGCATGACCTTGAAAGAACTAATTATGGACAACAAATTTCAATTGAAGGAAAAATATCTATTTTGTTGAAAGACATTGAAAATTCTGAGTTGACCATGAAAATTGGACATTTGCCACGTATTTTTCTTCATTCTTAGAAAAAATTTAAATTAAAAAAAAATTGGAGCATTGAGAAAATGTCTGAAGAGCTTCATGTAAGGTACCCCCAAATTTTAAAGAATGTTTTTCAACATCTGAAAGCTTTGCCTAGAGTAAGAAGGGCAGGGGTTTCTTCAATGTGGAAAAATCCTATGAAGGGTTTAGGTGCTAGTGGTGTACACGGGCGGACAGACATTGGGGGACCCTAAACCGTTGGAATCTCGCAATCGATTTTCCGCAGCATTACATAACTTTCCCTGTACTACATATATATGTACGTTTACGAGGAAGTAAAAAATGCAAGCAAAACTGGATATTATGATCTTTGTTTTGAACAAACGAGCCCCATAAAGCATTAATCACCTTACTTGACAGCTAAATAATATGAATTTATGGTATGATAAATGTAAAATTAAATTGTTTGCTTTTTGGGTTGCAAGTTGTATGGTTATTGTAATATGATTTGACAGTACTATTGAAATTGCCTTCTGCAGGCAGTAAGGTAAGAGGAATTTTTAAAACTGATATTTGGAGAATGGTAATTCAATTCTATCTATGCAAGTCCCGAACTGGAAGAATAAAAGTTAAAAAGGAATTTTGCCACTTTTGAGGGAGCCAGAGAAATTATTAAAATACACATCTGAAGCGGAAAAAATAAAATTTTGAATATAATCAATGACCTCTTAGGTAAAAAAAAAAAAAAAAAAAAAAAAAAAAAAAAAAAAAAAAAAAAAAAAAAAAAAAAAAAAAAAAATTACAGGAGGAAGGGAATGTATGTTTCGATATTAATATTGGCTAAGTTAAGGCATTCTTTGCTTTCTTTTGCTTTCTATAAAATAGTATTAAATATTTATTTATTGTAATACTTTTCTGAAAGTGACTTACATGTCAGCTAAATAACCTGGTACCTATGTTTGTGTCTGTAAGTACTCTTCATTATTAAACTCAAATGTCATGCCTAGTTTTAAAAATGTGCCTTTTTCAACAATATTTAATAACAGCAATAAAATTATCTTCTAGATAATAATTAGTAATGAATGCATTTAATTATCTATTGTATACTCTGTGACACTCGAATATCAGGCATGATTGGACAACTATTATTCAGTTTTTATTGAAAGAGTTTAATTATTAATTTGGTTTTATTTTATCGTGCACGTTAATTATCTCTGTTATATTTGAATATCTCACATGATTGGATAACTGTGATTTAGTTCTCTAACAATATTTATTTAATAAACGGCAACAGTAATTTTATTATTGAGTAATATTAATTAATATTAAAATTAATTATTGAGTACTAAATATTTATATTAGTTTGAATCTATTTTTAGATTTGGTCGTACCATCTTAGCAGTCACGTCAGCACAACCGCATTTATTTTATAAACGGCCAAAGTAATAAATTTAAGTTTTGGGTGATTAGTAATAAATGAGTACTAAATATTCCATTTGGTGTTATTGTGCTATGGTGGTTGTGCCAGATTGACACACCCTGGTAACGGCATGGCGTAAGCTGCTAATGAAAGCGATCGCTTTTCCACGCGGCGCGGTGGGTGTCGCCAGGCTGTGGGGCTGTGGCAGTCGTTGGTACGTGGTTTGCACCCACTTGTGCCACAAAAACATTCGTTTGTATCAAAACCACGTACAAGATACAGCACTTTTTATTGTGGTGGTGCCAATTTCACACTGGCACCACCACCATCGTTAAAATATTTGGAAACATAAACCGTTTGTACCGGATAGTTCAACTATAATTTTCGTTGGTTCCAGACAACTAATGAAGGTACAGCCATTTAATGAGGCGGAGGGAGGTGAACCGGAACTATACCACCATTCTTGTCACAGCAACCGTAGAAAATTATGAAATCATACTCAATCGATTGAACCTGGTTTGAACCGGATAGTTCCACCACAATTTTCGTTTCTACTTAAGGAAGAAATTTAAAAAATAGAAATAAAATAGTAGAAAAATGATACCTATGGAACTCAAAGAATTTAATGTCTACATGAAAAATCGAGCATGTTTTGTTTTAATGCTGCAAAATATTATTTTTTCAAAATTATAACACTAACTTCAAAGAATTAACTTAACCGGTGCGAACTATTTCATACACTTTGAAAATTAATAACATCTCGAAAATTCTTGCAAATATCTTCTTGAAAATTCTCGACATTCTTGCTTTCCTGTGCGATGTGTTGCAAATATAAATAGAGAGCGAATATTAATAAAATGCCAATGGAATGAAAAATTGAAGCTTAAAATTAAACATAAAAAAGCACTATTTCACAATTAGTACGAGCAAAATCATAAAATTTAACATATATCTATATATGTTTGTTCAGTGATCGCTAATAATGGCAAACATTTCCAGTAGGGGCGAAAAGCCTCTAGTAAATAGGGCAACGCCGTAATGTCCTCGAAATTGGCATGACTTCTCATGGCTCATGCTTCTCAAGTTTCGTTGTTTTGAATACTGTTTGCTGCCTGGTTGACACGCGGAAAATATCACAATCTGAGCGAATTGGCCGAAGGTTTATTTAAAAAGCGGAATTTGAGAGAGAACGGAATAATTCCCCCAATATCACGAGAACGTAATAAAGTTTTCAAATATTTTTTCAATGTTTGTTTCTCTCTAATTTTAATTATTGAATTACCTGAGCCAATGGTAGGTGAAACCTTAGATTATTCGATTGCATGACAAGATCAACAGTTTGGTTTTCTCCAACATTGTATGAAGTTTTATATTTAACTTGACAGAAATCGTAATCATTGACTCCTACGGTTCCTTATCCTCCATATCGCAATATGTGTTTTTTCTGATATTCCCCTATTTTATTTTTGCTTAGTTAATTAAACTGCATGATCAATTGTTATTGGTTTAATAGTTTTGATTGAAATACTTCTTCAATTATAATGGGCCATATTATTTCTAGCGGTGCAATTATATAATTCATTCATATTCTATTTGCTGGTATTCAGTATATTTTATATCATGTTATGATATTATTTTAGATGAAGATTATTGTGTAAAGTATATATCAAACTTAAGCTGATAAAATGAAGTTACTGCATCATATAATTGTAAGTGCTGTATTATTGAGACCTTCATTAATAAAATTATAACATTGTTGGTGATAAAATCTTAAAAATAAATTTCTAAGTGGCATAGTATTTTGAATTCATTTGTTTTGATGTTTCACTCAAAATGAAAAGAGGTTTAATTGTTTTGAAAATAAGACATGAGAACCATTCAAAATGCATTACTACTATTCAGAAAATGCAAAGAATTAGAAGTTTGGAAGGTTGATCACCTTCACGCTCCCATTCACTTCTGCCCTCGTTGAAACAGAGCCCTTTCCTCTCGTTTCCGAGCACGCGTTGTTGGCCAGGTTTAATTTTCCAGGTCTTGTATCGTCGATAGCCTTGAAAGAGCTGTCCTTGCACAAGTTCGAGGTACACCCCTATCGATGCATCATGCGTTCCGGCCCTCGCAGCCGCCGGTACGGAAACTCACCTCCGGTGTGCCTCGACACCGTTAGCGTATCGAGTATCGTCCGCGGCACCATTAGCGGTCTGCTGAATCTTCAGGTCTTGTACCCTTCTAGCCATCGGACAATTCCTTGCCCTATGACCGATTTCCGAGCACACATATCACTTCACCCTGGAATCCTTTTCCGACTTCTCGCCATTCATGCGATTCCTCGACCTACCTCCCCCGGCGACAATCGCGCTTTGACTTGCACTTCGCCTGGCGTCCCTCCGCGAATCGAACTCTTCTCCGATTTTGATGCGCAGGACATCGGGCGTCGGCAAGCTATCGCGTGTTGCGATCGCGCATCGAAAGTTGTCGAAACTGTCGGGCAAACTTCGCTGCAGGATTACCTCCAGCAAGTCTTGGGTGATGTTCACTTCCACGTCCGACAGCTTGTCCACTACGTCGAAGAATTCACGAGCTCATTCTCGCGCATCGTCGCCATCTTGCTTTCTCATAGAGATTAACTGATTCAGGAACGCGGCTTTTCGGGCAGAGCCTTTTGACTGGTAGATTCTCCAATTTTCTCCTCACAGCGCGCGACGTTTCGCATCCCTTAATCTGGTTCCGGCTGCGGTCCGGCGTATGGCGAGGAAGATGTCTGACTGTGCCTTCAAGTCGGCTTCCATCCACTGTTCGATGGCGTCGGCGTTGGCCCCTGTTGCTTCCGGCTTCACTTTCGTGCCATTCACGTAACCCCAGGCATCATTCTTTATCAGTATCGCGCGCATCTGTACCTTCCAGGTGTCGTAGTTTTCGTTATTCAGAGTTTCAAACCTTACGCTGGACGTATTCATTTTCTCGGCGTACGTGTATTAAAATAAAAGAAAAGAAAACGATAACCTGACTTCGCGCACGTGCTCAAACTGTCCTCACGTATCTATTCGCGTTACTTTGGGCCCATAACCTGTTGGAATTCAGGATCGTCAGTCGATTGCTCGGAATATCGATAGGCACTCTCCTGATGGGATTGTATCGCCCTGTCGATAACTCTAACAATACTAAAACTACTAGTGGCTAAATATATCATTCCTCTTACAAGTTCAATAAAATGTAATTATTAGTTACAGATGTAATTATTAAATTTGCCCATGGGCGGATTTAGATACTGTAGACCTTAAAACACAAAACTATTTTGGGCACTCCTTCAGAAAAATCTTTAAAACTAAAAATGATTAGAATAAATCTAAAAGACATTAATTATGATAGAATAAATCATTGTTCCAATACAGAAATGAATTAACAAATTGTTTACGAAGTAGAAATTGCTTTTTAAATTTCTCATTTACAAATACATGTTTGGTTTCTTATTGTTCATTCATTTTATTTTTAAAATCAAACATTGTAGTTCAGTAAACTATTTGATTAACAATGATTCAAATAAAAAC